CCTTCTCTTCGTCCGACCTAGTTTAGCTTTTTCTGGCCAACATTTACCTTAGCTTCATCGATGTGGTCTGACTTCTTTCGGTAAAGACTCGAAAAATCTAAGACTCAATTTAGATGATTTTTGTGTTACTCTAATTTAAATTAATTTCTGATTTATTCATTATAATTTTGGTTCAGGATTTTAACATTTCTAGGGCAAACATTAGCTTTTAGCTCAATTGGACCTTTGGACATTTTTACTGTTTTACTTTTACTTCATCATTAACTTATATTTACTTTTGTAAAATAGCAGAGCAGATATCGGTCGCTTAGAGCAAAAAGGCAAGAGAACTTCACATGGAATCAATTAACTGCCACAATGTTTGTTACAAAAATAAAATGACGGCTCAAATGTATCGCTGTGTTTTACAAACCTGTAAATCCAGTCTTCTTGCTGTCATGCAATCCCTTTATGATTACCTTTTATTGCTGACACTCTCCCTGGTCTGTTTTACCATCCTGTAGTTGTAAGGCGTATCCTATAATGTGATAATGGATTGTTGATTTAACTTCTCAACGTCAGATTTACATTTACAAATGTGACACGTCTACAAAGAATACCTAACTGCACTAGAAAGAGTGGGGTCACCTTCGCCCAGAGCGGACAAATGCTAAATTTCAACAGCTAAACTCACCATTAAAAAAAAAGATGAGATAATTGTAAACCCGTGACATTTCAGAAAAAAGAAATGTATATAATCTAAAAACAATTGTACATAGAATTCACCAAAAGAAATTTTTTAAATTAATTTTTTTAAATAGAACTGGGAGGCCGGCAAACTAAGGCCCGGGGGCCGAAAATTTTTTTAAATTGAACTGGAAGGCCGGCAAACTAAGGCCCGGGGGCCGGACACGGCCAAATTATATAATTGCAATACCAACGTTTCTCCAATAGATGGCATAGAAAATGATAAAAGCATTTTAGCCTTTATGCATGACTTTTACGTCGTTTATCGTAGTTCACTTGAACACTCCATCTATCTGCCCGTTCAATTTTACAATTGTGGCCCGTTAGTCAAAAAGTTTGCCGACACCTAGTATAAAGCAATACGACAGAGTGACAGACACAACATTATCTGTGATCTTTTTTTTTTTTTTTTGGGATGATACTGACATTTCACGATTCATTTGATTTAAAAAAAACAACAACACATTCTTAGTGATGACAAAAAAAAAATTGTGATTTTTATTATATCATTGGTGCAGGATGAAAATAATTGGCTGAAATCTCATCAGTAGGTCAAACTGAGGTCTGGTCAGAGGATGTAAACGGTCGAGTGACGGCACGTTTTCAGGCTCATTTATATGTTTTCATGTGCCACAGTCCATCGTTCAGATAGTGAACATTCTCGATTCCAATGCCTTTGTTTACTTTTTCTCTATTCGGAAGTAAAAAAGACAAAATGCAGAAGGTTAGAGCCGTCGGTGTCAGCAGAACAACACAAAGCCACGGAAATAAAAATGAAGAGTGAAATGTTTTTGTACATGCTATCTGCAGACATTTTCATCACGCCAACACTCAGGGCATGTTGTTTTCCTTCTGCCATTATGGCCTGTGTCCAGGAGTTAAAGAAAGGTTAGTGTTTATCAAGTTCTGTTTTGTGTTGATCCATTCATAAAACCAAAACAGAGAAATGATCATCATTGCTTCACGGTCAACTCATAAAGGATACGACAACAGTGTCAACACCGGCAGGGTTAAGTTTCGCTCCAGGGGATGTCAGACCAGGACACATGATGTTCGCTCCACTCAACACAAATTTAATTGCTCCTTTATCCACCTGCTGGTGTGGAAGAATGAATGGAACTGCAGGAAACAAACAGAAAGTGTCATTGAGTGTTTAGGTGAAGGTTACAGTAAAATGTGTGTGTTTGCAGGACGAGGATTTTACATTTGTGTAGCAGTCTGAGTGTCGGGTAAAATGGTCCTTCTCTTTGTCTGAAGAAGAGCAGTTCGCCATTTACCGTCAGGATTTCGATGTGTTCATGACTGTAAGAAAATCACAAATAAACACAGTGTATAAAACGAGAAAAAAAACAACAACTCACTAATGGGAAGAAGAGAAACAAATTAAGTACTACCATCTGACTATTTTAACTGGGTCCTTTTTGGGCATAATCTGATTGAGCCATGAGTCAATTTCCGGAAACTGGACCAGCAGCTGGTTTTTGATTCCTTTAATCACAGATGTTTTCAGTTGGATACAGTTGGACACATTTTCTTTCTCGTCAAACCTAAAATAGACGAGATGTGTGTTAGAGGATCAATACCACATTTTCAAACATATTTTATTTCCAGACTAATAAAAAGACAATGTTCTTATGCTTTCTAATATGTTATAATACGTAATATTACAAATTTTACAGTTTTCTAGTTTTTTCAATAACGTGATTCTGCTTTGATTTTTTTGCATAATTACAGCGGTGCGGAAAGTTTGAAGCGAATAGATATGTAGAGATGTAATGTGCGTTTAATTAATGTAGTAAAGTATTTTACACAAACCGGTTGTTATACCATCGACATTACATTTTTGTAAATGCTTTTTCTTTTCATGCTGAATCCAAATCATCATGAAGTAGATAAGAACAGTATTATTACAAATTATAACCAGTTAGCTTTAGCCACAAAGCTGTATTCAAACATAAATATTAGAATTCCTACTTTTTAAACATATCGTCGGCTCCGTGTTAACAGGTCTATTCCGGAGGTGCAGGATTGATTTCCACGATTACTGCTTCAAATCAACAGACAGAATTGGTAAAAACGAAAAGAATTAATTTTAAGATGCTAATTCTCCTGCAGCTGTCACACACACCAATGCTTTCACACCGGAAGTAAAACGGAGATTCTTCTACTGTTATGGCTACTCGTCCTGCAGACGGGTTTTTACTCCCCTCAACTAGTCAGTACTGCCCCCAACTGGCCTATATTATAAGCACAAATTTTCTTCGGATTTAGTCTTGTTTTAGTTTTTAATGTAACCCTAGACGTGGTCCGAGATGATTTGGGTTTTTTATTATTATTATTTTTTTCTTCGTTCAACCAGCTTTACCTATAGTAAGTCTGTTTCTATGTTATTTAATGGGTGTTTTTTTTATCTGTTTAGTATTATCTGTTATTCATACAAATGACTATAAATCCATGAAACCCTGACTGTCAAAAGAAATATCACTATTAGTACGGAATACATAAACCTTGACTAAAAAATGTCCTTGAAATATGATCCAAAACGCAGTTCTAACACTTAATTTGGTTAAACAAATGTTTATTCCTATTTTAAGTGGATGAATATGAACACACGAAAGCCTTATGGACATTAACTTAGAGGGACACATATGTTTGCCTCCCTATTACAACTATAGTTTTACCATGAGGCGAAGTAGTGTCACTTGCCTTGGCCTAGGATGAGCTTGTGTTAGAAGTGAGTACTTGGATTCCATTTTTTATAAGACTAATCTCGGACCTCCTGTACCGAAATGTACTTCCTTTTAATAAACCCATTTTTGTATTTTGTGTAAAATTATTATTATTACTACTACTGCCTGTAGTTGTAGTAGTAGTAATATTAATAGCATTAGTATTTGTATTATCCACTTTGTCCAGCGAAAGAACTTTTAATGTTAAAATACGTTGCCATCTAGTGCCCGCCAGAGTGATAGCACTTTCTTCAAGACGAAAAAAAAAAAAGAAGAAGAAAAACTGGCCTATGTGAAAAAGTACTTTAGTATAAAGTACTTCCGGTGAGGTCACAGACAGGCTTTTCCTCTGCTGTTCTTCCCCGGGTTTTCCACGCGTGTTTTACTTGACGTGGGACATTTTGATTTCAGAAGTAGAAACGTTTGAATTTGTGAAATAATTAAGTTTATAATGCGCTTCGTCTAAAAAAAACGCCGTAGTGAAGGGAGAGAAGGCGGTTTAAAAAGGGAGAAAAGAGGAAGCAGTTAGCGACCATCTTTATATCTTCTGCCAGAAACAACAAGACACACGCTCAGACTGTGGAGAAAGACTGAATTCAGTCTGGATTTAGTATTTTCCACAGCTTCCTATAGTTCCGAACAGTTTCAGCACATATTCTGGGGTGAATTAAACCCACTCCTGGCTGTTGACGGTGGCTCGTATTCCAGCTGCTCTGGAACACTCCTCTCCCGCGGCAAACCTGGAAGTTTTCGATCACAAGCCTGGCTTTGAGGAATTTGTTTCCCCGTTTTTTACATGTTTCCAACAAGTTTATCTTCCCCTAACCCTCCAGCACCGCCAACCCAGGAGGCAAGAGCTACGGCCGCCGATGGTGCCATCACTTCGGCCAGGAAGAGGAAAATAAACGGCCCGGAGCGGGAAGAAGCCGCCGACTCCATCTCCTCCTGCTCCTCCTCTTCTCCTCCAAAAACACTCGGTTCCCCCTCCTCGTCCTCTCCCACTCAGCTGCATCTGCACAAGAAGCTGAGGTTCGAGGATTCCGTGGATCTGATTGGACTGGATGTGAAAATGGCTGAAGAAGCTGCTGCTGCTGCTGCTGCTTCATGTTCCAACAACAGGAGCAGTAAATCCATGTTCTTACCCGGAACCGTTCCCATCCACGCCAATGGACTTACCAAGACTGTAGGCTCTGCTGGTACTGGTACCTTTTCTAGCAGTAAACCTGGAGCTGCCAAGAAACTGGTCATCAAGAACTTTAGAGGTACCAAACACACGCACATAAAACCCATCTGACCCAGTCAAATGAGCATCATTTGTAACTTCTATTATCTAGCCCACAAACTCCGCATCAGTATTATTTGTGTCCTTTGTGGTTTTCATCTTGAGTCTGTGTATCAAGAAAAGAACCGTATCTTTTTTTGTTGTTGTTGTTGTTGACAAATGTGTCTAGAAGCCAGGTTGTAGCAATCTATTATAGGACTTTAGTGGCCCATATCTAGAAATTGGGCCACATTATGGTCCATTACACCGTACTCAAGTTTAGCATTGGGCTGTCTTTACTTAGATATACTTCTCAATTTATGACGTAAGTCAAACAACCAACAAAAGGCTCACATTTGTTCCCAAAACATCTCCAAATATCTCTCGCTAAAATGTTGGGCCACATCTCCAGATGTTTATTTTGGTGGAACACATGTTTCTCTTATTCCGTTGAATATTCTCCTACATAAAGCTCCATTATAGAGTTGTTGATGTCAGTCAGTGTAGTCACAAAATGTGTTCTCTGAATCAGAGTTTTTTTCCGGTTGTATCTGATCATTTACCTAGGGTTTCTGGAATGACTGTTGTTGGGACGGTGTGAACAAAGTTAGGTTTATTATGCTCGCAGAAAAACCCAAGTTGCCGGAGAACTACACTCAGGAGACGTGGCAGAAGCTGAAGGAGGCAGTGGAAGCCATACAGAATAGCACTTCAATCAAGTACAATCTGGAGGAACTCTACCAGGTTCATGTTCTCGACACTCTCTGGTTCTTTAGAGCTTTAAACTGTACCGTAAACGTGCTCCACTCATGTGGTCTTCCTGCCTTTCACTGATTTTTTTTTTCTTCTTTTTCTTCTTGTTTGTCCTGTCAGGCTGTGGAAAACCTCTGCTCACATAAGATTTCTGCCAAGCTTTACAAACAGCTGAGGGCTGTGTGTGAAGATCACATAAAGGCCCAGATCGATCAGTTCAGAGAATATCCTTTACGTGGATCAGACTGTTTTCATTTGCACTTTTCAACACCCGACTTTGAACTCCGCTAAAACTGGGTCAACCTCAGACTGTTGAATGTAGATTTTGCAGATTTCTTTTTTTTCTTTTCTGTCATCACTTCGAAACAGATGTTTCTCCATATTTGATTTGTCGAAAACAGATGTTTCTCCATATTTGATTTGGTCTTCGTGGACCCTGTTTTGATTCCCAAATCGGATCCGACATGGATAGTGGTGTGAGAAAATATCGATACACCGATGTATTCCAATATTTAGCAGAGGCTCAGTTTCGTTGTATCCCCGTGGTACAATGACAATACAGACCATAAAAAAATTAAAAATAAAATAAATTTTAAAAAATTTCAATTCACAATACTCCATTAATATTCTACAGCACTGTATTGATTTTTTTTAGTTAACAGTAAACATGCAAATATTAAGGATATTAATATAATATTATTTTTTCCCCAATTTACGCTTAATACGCGGACGTTAGCACACGCTGTAATAGCGTGCTAGATATGATCGAGGAGAAGTTTGACGTAATGACCGCGAAGTCAATCCATGAGGGCGAGGACATCGCAAAACGTACCTGTGACGTTGCATCCGTCAGTTCAATGTCACGCTTAAAAAAAAAATAAAAATAAAATTTTATATTTATATTTTTTTAATATTCCTATATACTTTTTTATTTTTACAAAAACTTACTTTTTTCTACTCTGTTATTTAAGATAACAGTTTATGAGCTACACAAGAGCAGTACTGTTTGGCAGTTACTTATGAATAAATGATCGTTGTATTTGGCCATAACTTGTTTGCCGCTCATTTTCCTAAAAAAAAAAACAAAAAATTATAAAATCGTTTCATGAACAAAAAAAAGTGAGTGTTAAAGAGTGTATCGTTGCACCCCTAGTATTAACATAATGTGAATAATTTATTCAGATCTAAAACTTGACTGCAGTCCACAGATTTATCATTTAAATGATTTGTTTCACATTTTTTTGGGATGTCAGCATTCAGTCCTAGTGTCCAAAGGTGGACAACATTGATAATGACGAATGAATGACATATATGTGGATATGTTTTTTTTTTTGTTTGTTTGTGTTTTTTTCTTTAATGAATGAATATGGACGTTAGCCTTGACATTATTCTCAGGGATGCTCTGGACAGTGTGCTGTTCCTCAAGAAGATCGACAAGTGTTGGCAGGATCACTGCAGACAAATGGTACGTAGTTGAACCTGTGTTGCCGTCCTTCGCGTGTCTCAGAAGACAGAGCTCTTCAACAGGCAGATGTACTGCAGTCAGCCTTGAAATAATTTGTTTTTTTGGAACACTATAAAAAAAATTTTTTTTTTTTAGTTTAATATCCAAACAGGATTATTTGATGTTGATTTGATTTGGGTTTTTTTTCCGGCTGATTCCGACTGTTTATTTTTGTTTCTTAGATCATGATCAGAAGTATATTTCTGTTTCTGGACCGAACTTATGTCTTACAGAACTCCATGCTACCGTCGATCTGGTAAGTGACCAATACATTGTCTCATTGATCTTATCGTTGTTTCCCGATTATGGATTTAAGTTTTTGAAACTAATGGACGTGTTTGTTCCGCAGGGACATGGGCCTGGAACTGTTCAGATCCTACATCATCAGTGACCTGAAGGTTCAGAATAAAACCATTGATGGGATTCTGTTGCTGATAGAGCGGGAGAGAAACGGAGAAGCCATCGACCGCAGTCTGCTGAGGAGTCTGCTGAGCATGCTGTCCGACCTGCAGGTGAAAGAGCGAGAATATATGAGGTCCTCGGGGTTAAATGAATGCCGGTCATTCGACTTTTAACACCTGAGGTGAAAGTTGTGCTTGTGTGTGTCACATAATCCTCACGGTTACTACTCCCTGTCGTTGTCAGATTTATCAAGACTCTTTTGAACAAAGATTTTTGGAGGAAACAAATCGTCTGTATGCTGCAGAGGGGCAGAGGCTGATGCAGGAACGAGAGGTGAGATGTTTTTGTCAGATTGTGATGGGAATGTGAAACACGTCCACGCGGTAAAATCTGCTGTTCTGTTAGTGACATTTGTTTTTTTAGTTGCTTTTTGTCCCCCTTCTTTGGACGTCAGAAGTTCAGTTCCGTGATAGTCAGTATATCTGACAGGTTTGTGATCAACAAGGAGGTGAATGTATTTACGTAGATATACAGTCTTATTCTCGTAGTGTGAGATCATGAATATAAATACATCGCACTCGTTTGACGCTGGGGCAAAGGTGGATTAAATAGTTGGAACTGACCAAGGCAAATTGTGCCGGGAGTGCGCCATCTGGTGGTCATATTAGAAAGAAAGGTGAATGACGTCAGGATGTCGTCGTCGCTATATTTTGGAAAAATATTGTACCAACGATTGAAGGGCTTTTGACCTTGAGACGCTCAGGGCCCCGTCCATTGACCAGGACTGGTACCAATAATTGTTTGTTTGTTTTTTTTCTCCACTGCAGGTGCCAGAGTATCTTCATCATGTGAACAAGCGTCTAGAGGAGGAATCAGACAGAGTCATTACATATCTGGACCAGAGCACACAGTCAGTGTTGACCTATAAACCTGTTCAGTAATTCCCGCTCACATGGACACAATTGGAATGAATTCAAATTCAATGTTTTTTTTGTTGTTGTTGTTGTTGTTTTTTAGAAAACCACTCATTGCTACTGTGGAGAAACAGCTACTGGGGGAACATCTGACTGCAACTCTGCAGAAAGGTAAAAAAAAACAAAAAAAAAACAGGCTAAAGGTCAACGGCAATCTTATCACATGGACCAGACGGTTAAGCTGTGGTGTAAAAACTCAAGATAATCCTTACTGTCAATGATACACACAACCCAAAAAACATCAAATTATGCATCATTTTTTTTACACTGGTCATGGGTCCCGAGGTTGGGAGCCTACGATCAGATCTACGTCTGAACTCTATCGTTCTGCTAAAAAACTTCTAGGTCTGACTCATCTGCTGGACGAGAACAGAATCCAGGATCTGTCTCTTCTGTATCAGCTCTTCAGTCGCGTTAGAGGCGGTGTTCAGGCTCTGCTGCAGCACTGGATCGAATACATCAAGGTGTCACAGCGTTAGCAGCAAATCCACGATCAACAGCCGGCTCCAGACGTGATGCGCTCTTTTAACCCTGTTCAAAACTCTTCCAATCCAGGCTTTTGGGAGCACAATCGTCATCAACCCCGAAAAGGACAAGACCATGGTCCAGGAGCTGCTGGACTTCAAGGATAAAGTAGATCACATCATTGACATCTGCTTCATGAAGAACGAGAAGTTTGTCAATGCCATGAAGGAGGCATTTGAAACATTTATCAACAAGAGGCCAAATAAACCTGCAGAGCTGATAGGTGAAAAGAGAAAATCAATATACATTGTCCTTTTAATGCTGCTGTAAAATCTGCTATGAACTTAACCTAAAAAAAAAAACCAGTGTGAAGACGGTACTGTCCAGGCAGGTTTTTGAAGCTCAAAAATAATTTTGAACATTTTAGAAAAAAACATACGGCCCACTCAACGAATGTTGAAAGTGAAAAAATGTACAAACGTTGCATGTTAGTATTATATATTACATTTAATATATG